AAGGAGAGGGGTTCTCCTTCGGTGGCCCTGGAACCTACAGGCACGGGGTCAAAGGAGAAAGCGGGGAGGTGATACTGCGCTCGCAGCCCTCTTTCACAGGTAGCTTGGAACAAAAATTAAGTCTCTCAAACTCGTACGCAGCAACGGAAGGTGAGGGATGCTGTTCAATGCCGCTTGTTCTTGTAGCATCCCGCTTCCAAACCCCCACCCTCCCTTCCGCGTGCAAAAATTGTTCCGTTCTACGCTCCCCTGCTCACTTTATTTTCCCCATCTGGCAGTTGTCTAAGAAACCATGCATTTGGCCAACGGTATGTTCCATCCCTAGGACCAAAGTGAGCAGCCCTACCACTGCATTTTCCAGTATTTTTTCAGTATGAATCCCATACCGCGCAGCTTCAATCCGACCGAAGCACCAAGCTGTCGCAATTGCGCTGTACACAGCTTACCAGTGCAGCTGGCAACAGAACCAAGCACTTTGGCAAGTTTCAGTTCTCTTGGCAGCGCACGCTCTCCAACAATGCCTTCATAAAAGAGGACAGCGCAGAAGCAACAGCGCAACTTCTGATCAGAGGCAGATTTTGGAAACAAGTCCTTTGAAGAGTTATTAAGCAAACTATGGAAGGCTAAAAGCATTAGGAAGTGAGACATCCAACTGGAATTGATGTTTAGCCAAGCATGTAAAAAAAACAAAATTATAAAAGTTGGTATTTATGACCTGCAATAGGCTAAAATGTCGAGGATAAAAAGCAGAAGCGTGGGTATCCCTTGCAGGATGACGTAGCACACTGGTCTACTACAACAGCTCGGCATAACATGGAACCATTTGCATATGGCATTGGGAAAACACTTCAATGAGACTCAAATTCTGTCCTGTAGCTATACGAAAATACACAAAATTAATTTCACTTTCTATATTTTAACTGGATTTCACACCACTCCAACAGAATTTGTGGGGTTGTTATTTTCTTAAGGGGGCACAGAGGGAGAGGACACACGTTACATCTCCTCCAAGCCCTGTACACACAGTAATGCGTCCCCATCAGCTCTGGTAAGCTTTGAACAAAGGCTGCACTTGCCTTTAAGTACTCATACTCCCTCAAAACAGCAATTCTGTTCTCGAAGTTAAGAAAAGACTCAATTATATTGCACCTACTTCTACTGTTTAATTTGTCCCTCAGACTAATTCCCTACTCAGGGATGCAGATCGAGCATTCAAATGGTCCCTGAATGGTTTAGGTCCCCCTCCTGTTTCCAAGGTCTTCTGTATTCCTGAAGGAAACTTTGAAATATCTACCTAAAAGGAGGAGACAACAAAAGTAAAAAAACCCCACAACCTCCCCCTCAAAAAAAAACCAAGACAAACAGAATCTTAACCATTTCGTTTAATGTAGTACAAAAAAAATTTGGTGAGTATTACAATGAAAAGCGATTAAAACACAGATACCACGTTGCCATCCCACTACCTAAACAGTTGAGATTCACTTCTCTATTCATACAATAGAAAGTTTAGTGGCCTTCAGGAAAAGAATGACATCCAAAAAATCCTTGCATCACACGTATTCTTTCTGCTACATTTTAAAGCTGTGCTCACAGAGACGGCTTCTTCTATCAGACTCTTCAGGTATACAGGAATTCAGTTGTAAATAAAGTTGAACCTAAAATTAAAAGGATTATAGCAAGTGAGGAATTCTCATTCTTTTCCTTTAAGTGACATTTTTGAATGAATAAGCAAATGTTTTGTTTCTGCTCTTGATAAGCCTTCATCTGACAGACCAAAAGTGTATTTTTTAACAAGACAGTTTTACAGTGTAGCACAAAGCATCATTTTTAACAGCCAATCCTACACTAGCATTGCACAACAGTTTCTCAAGGTTGCAAAAGATGTAATTACTAACATTTCAGCTCTTACGAGAGCTTCATAGATATGAAAATACCAGCGAGACTGATGCTCCCCCATCAGCAACTCTTTCGCAGCGTTTCTGCTGTCAGGGCCAACCTTACCTACTCCAAGGGTAACACATGGACATACTCAACAGAAGAGTTAATTCTTCTCATTAAGTTTCACAACAAACAGCGTTCACGCAGTGAAAGCAAGCATCCGGCTCAACTTCCAGATGTCCATCCTTTGGATGTGTCTGTTGCACTGGTACCAAACTGGTGTTCAGCTGCATAGTAGCCAGTGTTTTGCTGGTACTCAGGAGAAAGTATCTACGGTCTTTAGAGCAGGGGTGGCGGGGAAGCCCCCATAGCTACAACTGCCAAAATCGGGACTAGAGAAAAAAACCCAGCAGGATACAAGCCTACTATGGGCAATATGAGTGCTGGCATTCTGCTAACACATTTCCCCCCCCCCCCCCCCACAAAGGAGGGGGATGAAAAAAAAAC